TATTAGGTATTCCTCAATCATCAAAACCGTATTTGTCACAGCCAATAAGTGTGNTTCTGCACTGCTTATAGGTGCTACACTCTATGAAAGATATTCTGTGTGACTGATACTGACATAGAGCACATATCAGCAGATGGTGCTGCATCTCCTGGAACACACAACAGGAGAATTTCAAAAAGTACTACATTAAGCCTGCCATTCTGGGTCAACTTGTCTGTAAGTGAAACTGTCACATTCTGTAACATAATTTGTATCCACAGGAAAAATTTCTGCATTTAACAAAAAAAACTTGAAATGGCAAACCAAACAGCACAAACATGCAATGTACAAGGATCCAGCTACATGATGTGGAAATACTGTGTGGCATACATACATTCCAACAGTTGTATTAAAGAAGGAAGAATAGTTTCCATAAATATATACTCATCAATGCAGTTATTACAAGTAAATTTAACTGTACAACCATATTCAGTGAACAGATAACATACTTGAGTCACAGTTTTGTCTCTGTATAATCATTGCATGTGTAAATTACACAGAAACTGAAACTGCATACACTAGTCAGGCAGTATACGGGCTGTGGATTTGTTGCAACACAAATCATGATGTTATGTGAATTAAACATTTGTGAAACATTGCTTTGATAAGTACTTCTTCCTTCCTCACATCATTACCAAGCTCCTGTTTTTCATTTGATGAGGAATAAACATAATTCACCAGACAGAACCAGAGGCAGCTGAATCATGTGTGTGATCAGCGGTCAGCACAAGCAGTTGTCACCATTATTTGTGGAATGTTAAAACAAAGCAAAGGTTTATTTTGAAACAACAACAAGAAGGTTAATATGTCACCTTGTTACTATTAAAAATCCTCTAAAATACAGTAAAAGTTGCTAAGTCAGCATAGAATTAAAACTATTTACACAACACTAAGTATTGTCTTTACCTTGTATTACAAATCCAAATATATCACTGGATGGCATATATGTGCTATATTTTTCTCCACATTCAAGGAAAAAAATACTCCATCAATATCATGGGTATCAACGTACAAGCACAGGAGTGCTTTGGACAGTTCAATAATTGTTTTAGTCTTATAAAGTAATGTCTCCCTGTTATTACTCATACATCAGTTGAGGATGGCAGAGAGTGAGAAAAGAACATACTTCAACTATAATTGATCCCTTACAGGAAATGATTTAAGTGTTCATTTACTTGTAACTAGAGTCTTTTTAATACTGGTCAATGTAGTCTTAAAGTTGGGGTGACAATTTACATTTTATGCTTGTGACAGAATTTTATTGGATCACAATGCACGGAAAATACATCTCTGAATCTAACGTCCTATATTTTTAGCCTACTTCCCATATTAAAAAAAAAAAAAATTAAAGTATGCTTATAAGTATGCTGTCTGTGTGTTTGTGTATCCCCTACATCAACTTCTGAATACCTAACCAATGTTTCTGAAACTTGGTATGTATATCATGGCACCTGAACCCATCTCAATGGTGCGCTTCATAAATCCCTCCCATCAGTCTGTCTGCATGTGTATTTCCCCTCTATTTGCTAGGCAGCAGCTTGTTAGACATGTTCCCATGGCAACGAATACATGCAACAATAGAAGAACTGTCAGAGGCAGCGTCTTCTATTCGGTCCATGTCAAATTAAAGGACAGTCTGTGGTTCTTTCTCTGTACCCCTCTATCATTGCTAGGCAATGGCTTGGTAAACACGTTCCCACAGCAAAAAATAATTGCTGGAAGCGTCATTTTCTATGCAGTCCACATTGTATTAAAGAAAAGTAGGCAATTAATTAGTTCTTACCAGAACTTCTTGTTTTTGTACAATTTTATATGAACTGTTCTCATTCTCTCCTCCTTTCCGAACTCAGCACATGTTCAACATATAACAGATTGAGTCAATCTTCCAACAGTTAAAAACTACTGTTTTCTGGCATTCGTGCTAATTCCAAAATGTTCAATTGATGCGATACGTATCATGCTGATTTCTGCCATGGTTCATGACAGTGGCTTGCCCAGTGTGCAGATGGTTCAAAGTTCAAACCCCAGCCAGGGCAGCATTCAGAAATAAATACCTGTTTATATTTTAGTTTAAAAACCCTGCTCTACTAAATTAAACACTGCCCAGAGCTGGACAGCAAGGTTAGGGGACTGGTATGTCATTTTAATAACACTGGACCAATTTACATAATTTATCAGTTTTAAAGAATTTGTGTGGCAATGGCAGAACCTTCCTATACCATGACTATGGTCTGGTCACTATGTTCCTTGGATACAGTTCACCTCCAGACAATCACTAGTCTAGAATTCATGAAGCAACAAACACCATACACTCGCAAGTCATGTCTTATCAAAATAAAGTAATATGAGAAATACCATGCATGGGTGAAACAGGAAATCCACACAAAGCTTTGGTACAGTAAATGCATGGAAACAATCACCTTTCTCATTAATTCCTATTACAATTTTATGTTTGCTGGTAAAGGCTGCAACATTTTTAACGATTTAAAGTCTTCTGATTTATTCAATGACTAATATAATTGCAAAGTAAAACATGAGACAGGTGGAAAATAAATGTAGAAAGGCTACAGAAGGAATTAACCATACTGCAATCAGTATGAATCAAAATACAGCATTACAAAAACAAATGCACCTGCCATGTTAAAGGAATGCAGAGCGATGGACCGCCTGAACTAATATTGAAGTATATACCAGCTAGCACAAGGATGTAAGGACAATCCCTAAAGAGATTATGTACAAATGAAGTCAGAATGGATCAAAAATGGCAGAAGACTAGACTGTATGACAATGGTGGATGATGTTCAAATTGTGTTCAAGTCTTCTTTGCTGCAGGGGCAGCACATTCCTCTTCTACCCTGAAGATGGAGGCAGAATATTCCTCTGAAACACTGGTAAATTTCTACCAGACTATGCAGCGTCACATCCAAGAAGACAGTTATCTTCATAGTCACGGTTGTCAGAGACTCAAGTCTCACAAAGACATGTTTTCAAACACTCAAAACACTCCTCGAAGCATGGACACTGGTACTGGTCAAGGTTTATAAACACACAAGTCTGGTGCACTTGGATTTCCTAATTCCACACCTGCCAACCTTCTAAAACGATACAAAAACTGTACAATTCATCTGCTAAAATTACATTCAACACTCATTTCAAAGCAGCAAAGTTCTTTGGTATAACATTGTACAAAACACAACACACACCTTACACAAAGGGATGTGTGTTATAACTCTACAAAAGAATATATGGCTAGCAGGCATGTCATCTGGAAGAAATGTTATTCATGCCAGTTGACAAACTAAACATGGACATTTCCAGGATCCACATTCAGACTGGAAGTTAGTATGAGGACCTGAGTCCACCACAAATTATAACTGCACCCAGTTAAACTGACAATCTGCATAACAGATGGAAATATAAAATAATATGGTTTGTTGCCATGTTCTTTTATTTAATGATAGCCTAATGGCACTGTGTCAACAAATGAAGTTAAATGTTAAAACTGGATGACAATAATTTACCAATGAAAATGAAACCTGGCAACACTGTGCATTTTGCAGCACTGACTTTGTGCTTGTCTGCATGCCTGTCCGCCCAGTTTGCGCCATCTGTGCAATTACTGCAGTCCCTCCTGTCATGCTGGCTGCGTCATGGAGTGTTGCATTAGCCTGTCTCTCCAGGCACAGGGGAAACCACTTTCAGCATCTTATGTAACCCAGTTATCTCCACATCTATCATGGTATTTATACACCAAGTTTAATTTTCATCACTAAATTAATGCACAATTTATAACTGTTACACCAGGGCCTCCTCCAAGTGAATCACCAGCAAAAGGGAAATAAGCTAAAATACTACCACAGCATTTGCCTGAGGGATGGAGGAAAATTTCAAAATACATGAACATGATAAAGTGGCAAATTTGGAGGTCTGACCTTACTTCTTAGACATTTTTAAATAATCTAATATGATTTAGATTGTCATCTTCTGGACCATGACACCTAGTAGCTTAGGACACTGGTGGTTATCCACATTTTGTAGAAACATATTGCCTCCATGTTCTAACCTGAAGATGCTCGCTGCATGTCCCTCTAAAATATTGGTAACCACCTACCAGACTACATAGTGTCACAACTCAGATGATGACAATCTAAATCTTCACTCCCATGAAACCTAAATCTCTTACAGATCATGACCAAATGTCACAGTCAAGTAGGTACCAATCCCACTTCATATTCAGAAGGTCCCAGGATCAAATCTCTACCAAAGGACTGGCTATACCCACATCCTTTCCAATTCTTTCCAATTCATTACTCATTAATAAAATCATCATATCCTTCAACGCTATATAGCTATGGATTGCACTGTTAAATAAACCATAAATAAATAAAATACAGATCTAATATGGATGAACAAACTACTGTTATATTTCAGCATTGTACTTCATCTGAATAAACGTTTCTGCCTACTTACTTTGTCTTAAAAGGAACTGTATTGTTGTCTGTGTGTCAACATGACTGCTCTCCCCACTGAAATCTTGTGTGGTATCAGATCTTCACCAAACACGGCGGTTCAGAAGTAATGCTCTCTGCATGTATTCATATGCTCAATTTAATTCTCAGCTGGGGCACAAGTTACCATTGAGGTTTTTCCACGGTTTTCCTCAGTTCCTCCAGAAAAATGCCACACCAATATCTCAATTAGGTCCATCCTTCCAAATCTTTTCCAGTTCATTATACACCAATCATTTTGCCATTCCACACTATATAGTCTAAGAGGCTGACAGTACCACAAAAGTAATGTGACAGAATTCCATGTGAAACTGTTCTTTTCAAATTTTCATTTCACTTGCACAACTCAACATTTTAACATTTATACACATTCACTTCTGTCTTAAATGCACCTTTATTTACAATTACTCATTTATTTAATAATAAAAGTTAATTATGTTGGTGTTCTGTTAATAACATAGAAATATTTTAACTTAAGAAATAATTCATCTTAATTACATTGAAAAATAAAATGTATCAATTTTGACAAGTCTGACAGTTGCCGGAGGATGGCTGAGTATGGCCAAAACGTGTAGAAAATTTTAATATTAATTTTTAACTTTTAATTGTATTTTTAAGTAAAGGAGTAATTGTAAATAAAATTGCATCTAAGACGAAAATGAATGTGTATAAGTGATACATTAATGCTGATGCTGAAATTCTGAAATTTCACTTGAAATGAAGATCAAACAATTATGTGTTTGACCCAAGTTGGAGGTTGCTGTGGCCACACACATTCAATCATGGCTCCACTGTAATAGTCATTGGGCACAGGTTATAGGGCTATTTTTAGAGGTCTGAAAGTACACACAACCCAAACCACATTAGGGAACGTTTCCACTGTGCACCAGGCTCATACATCCAGTCTATGTGGCATGAAGAACATCAAACACAGACTACCGAAGTCTGAAGTGCAGGAACTGACCCCAGTGGGTGTGTACCATATCTATACAGATAAATGACAAGTTTCCATCAATTCTACTTTTTGTTACAATCACACCATGAAGTCTGTGTGTGTAATGCTCTTCTATCCTTAAGTCTCTCTGTCCACCATAATCAATTTACTGAATATAGACATGTATATAAAAACTCAGAACCTCAATTAGAAAAGATCTGACAGTTTTTTTAATATAACATGGGCCTTCAAAAATTAAATTTCCAATCACACTAAGCAAACCCATCAGTTCTCTGAAGTGAAGGTTGGATGTGGCCTATGAATGCCAATATTCATGGGGCCACAACTGCAAAATCATAACTGTCCCTAAGTTTATCTCCTTGTAACACTCAATAAATATGGTTCACTGCAACTGTCTGCAGACAAAAGGTAGTTCATCGACACCATTTTCAGCTACAGGGTTACCAACAAACCTCATTTCTCTGTCTTCTGTAAAAGTCGATGCAGGACAAGTTCAATTTTCATGAAGATTTTATCTACAAAAAGCCAGCTGCCTAAACACAAAACTTTAAAATACTACATCATTGAAATTGAACAGGTAACATTGCATGATAACTTGTTACACAAGATCGAGACAGTGATCCTGCTTGTATATGCCATGTCTTGTTACACATAGAGCTTATTGCATACAGAATTTTCTTGCTGATAGGAACAAAGACAACAGAAACAAGCTAACAAGCAGACTTTCAATCCAAGATGAAAGGGAAGCAACCACAAATTTGGAGATAAATTTAAAAGAATCATAAAAAAGTAAAGTAAAGCTATCCCTGTAAGAGGCAGTGAAGGCCCATAGGGTTGAGATGTTGAGGGTTCCACATTATCTAGACAATCAGCTCAAAGATGGCAGTAAGGCTGTCAGCCTTACGCACCGGCCACACTTTACTCCCCAGGAAAATTATTTAATTAATTCCTGGTACTCATTTCTGTTAGAGGCTGAGTCGACCCCAGGGCCATAGTGCAGCTGGAAGTATTAGGTAAATTGAAAAAAAAATCCAATTACCTCATTGGGACTTGAACCCACGACCTTCCGGCTTGTCATGTATATAAATACAACAGTCACATCAATGCTCATCATGACACTAGCCACTGTAGCCCCACAGTTATTTTTCATTATCTTTTAAATGCAAATGAAATACTATGTAGATTCAGTTATACTGCAGTCATCGTGCCAAATCCCACACACCGTCAGCACGGTCCATGGATATGGCCTTGTAATTGAGGAGCACAGCCTCTTTGCCCTCCTTTTACATTCATCTGCATTAAAAACCACTATCACACAAACTGCAGCTTTTTAGTGATACCTGATTAAAATTTCAAAACTATATATCACTGGATAAACTATCACCCCAGGCACTTAATGGAGCTACATTATTATTGGTTTTAAGATAGATTAAAGAGAAATATGTCAACATAACCTCCTACATTTTATAAGCAACAGACAACTGATTTACCAGGAACAAAGACCAAGAGATGTAGCACATACCAACCAAACATCACAGTCAGGTGGGTACCACTCTGCACAGAAAGGGTTCCGGGTTCTCTCCTAGCCCAGAGACTTGCTTTTCTAACTAGGTTTTATGTAGTTTTCTTCAGTCCCTCCAGCATATGCCAGATAGTACCTCAAATTAGGCCATGACCCCATCCTTCCACATCCTTTCCAATTCATTATTCACTAGTCATACATTCATTCAACTGTTTATAATTTGAGTTACTGATAACATTGCTAACTAAACCATAAATAAATAAAAATATAAATCCATTATTCTGATAGGATTCTGTTAAAATATCTTAAAGGATGACATCAAAACACTAAGACTAACAGTTGATGATGCAACAGAATGACCTCAGTGAAACCTACCAAACACTGAAAGATTCTACCAACAGTTACAGCATTTTATTTGAGCAGTCTCTTAGGTGGTCAGCAGTCAGTGCTCAGTTACTCATGAGTTAACCTTTATCGGACGGGCCATTTAATTTCCGGTAGGGGCAGCTGGACGGAGTTTATTTAAATGCCCGCCCTTCTAGAGCAATAAAATTGTAAGCATGTTTCTAAAAATGGTGTGATTTCTACATTTTTTATGATAAACGAACGAAATGAATGCTCCTTTAATGTAGAAAGAATATAGAATCAGATATTCTAATTTACAGATTCTAATATCTGTAAAAATTTTTTACACTGATTCCCAAAAATAAATTTCCCGAAATTCATACATTTTCTGCACCATGCGTTCTAGCAGTGTAATACATTTTCTGCGCCATCCGTTTTAGCAGTGTAAGTCCTTGTGGCGACTTCACATTCAATGGTGTCTCTTGTTGAAACTTATTTATCGTATAGGATTGTCGGTATGCATGTCGCTGTGTAATGTGTTAGATATACACAGGAGTTAATTCTTGGAATATGGTGTTGCCAGATTGGTCATTCGTTCATTCATTGCAGTCAAACCATTGTGTTTGTAACGATTTTGCAACATCGCAATATAAGGTTAGCCAGCCATGACATCATGTACCATGTTTGAAACAGATATTCAGTTCAGCGAAAACGTGAATGAGATTTTTGTATGTGTGGGCTCAAGGTCATGATTTATGGCTTCTTATCGTGGTCTAAGCACAGAGATTCACTGCTAGAGAGCCGTATAGTTCACCATAGCCACACGACGACATCGTATGGAAGATGCTGAAATTGAGAAACAGCTGTTCAATGACACAGATTCGGACTGCTATTCAACCGATTCTGAGAGTGGCGAGGAAAGTTGGAGTTCTGATGCTGAAATTGAGAAACAGCTGTTCAATGACACAGATTCGGACTGCTATTCAACCGATTCTGAGAGTGGCGAGGAAAGTTGGAGTTCTGATTCCGCGGACGAAGGGTCATCACCTTCGTCGGCAACTTGGGGACCGCCAGACCAGTGTGGCTGGAGAGGTGTGAATAATTATTCCGGTGTAGCTGCTGGGATAAATATCACTCCAGCTCAACATCACTGGCCTGCTTCCTCTAAATCGCAACTGAGGTGTCGTGTGTGCTCTTCGCGTGGGAAGCGGTCTAGCGTTCGTACGAAGTGCGTGAGCTGCGACGTCGGACTCTGCATTTCGGAATGTTTTCGGCAGTACCATACGAAGGCCACATTACCATAGATGACGCAGGAGGGAAGGCTGTTTCCTCATGAAGATGGTGAACATATATCACGTAAGTAGAGCAAAAATTTAGTTTTAAATTTAATTTTAAAAAAATCTTTACACACGTGCAATGCGCGAAATCATATGAGGTCATTCGGCCATATGACATCGGTAGATTACATTAGATCACGCAGGAGGGAAGGCTGTCACCTTATAAAGGTTGTGACCAAAAATCATGTAAATAGAACAACAATTCATATTTTAAATTTAATTTTAAAAAAATCTTTACACACGTGGAATGCGCGATATCATATTATGTCGTTCGGCCATTTGGCCTTACTTTTAACGTCATATGACGTCGCTAGATTACATTAGATCATGCAGGAAGGAAGGCTGTCTCCTTATAAAGGTGGTGACCAAAAATCATGTAAACAGAACAACAATTTATATTCTTAATTTAAAAAAAAAAAACCTTACACGCGTGGAATCCGCAACATCATATGATGACGTTCGGCCAGCTGCCCTAACTTTTAACGACATCATATGATGACATTCGTCCAATAAAGGTTAATATATATAGTCTGTTTCAACACTGGTACGACACCTGTTGAAATGATGTGCAAGTTTTGTGGTAGAGTTTTGGATGGTCCATATCACCATAACCAATTTTCTTTAATTGGGTAAACTTTCATTTCTTAATTTGAGTGTTATTCCTTCTTTAAAATTCAGTTACTGTAAATTGTGACATTGACAAGGAAAGCAGCCAGACACATCCTGGACTATGAATGGATACTTCTGCTTGTCCTGAATAAGATCTTTTTTGTTTCTCCAATCCTTCCAGGTAAACACATGAGTACAACTCCCAAGCAAGCTAATTCTTCCCAGGTGTCCTTCAATAAGACTCAAAGACTCATTACAGTGAATGTGGTTCATTACACAAAAGCAGTCATTTTCACAAAAATGTGATAACACTATATATATAGTGCCTCTTGTGACTGGAGAATATTCATTGAAAATATTCAGTTTTGGTCTATTTTCGATAACTGTGACCACCACTGCTCATGAAAACCAAGTCTGAACTTCAACAACTGTCTCATATTTCATTATATGATACACTCCCATTGAAGACAACCAGTTCACTTTCCCAGGCTCTTTTATATATATCCTGCCAATTACACCATCTTGATGGGGACAGAATCTGAACCCTTCAACACAATATCAAAATTATGAATGACAGCAGGTCTTTGAAAGAGATGTCATCCTAACACAACATATGAAACACAGTCCTGGTTTCAACTTCAAGGTACCTCCTGAGAGTAAACACAGGATGTGAGCTTGTATACAAGTTGCATGTAACAACCAAAGTGCCCTACAGCAAGAAACTGACTAAAACTGTCAGTTTACATTCTGTATGCAACAAAGCACAAGCTACCTAAAGAGAGGATAGTTGAAGCACTTGCAACTACACCAAGATTCTCATTGTGTCTCATACATCTGCTTTCAGTAACTGACTGTGGCAAGCATGCAAGCAAACAGCACCCATAAAAGTAACACCTTTAAGAAACCTGACATGTTTGCAGTAACAGTCTTATCTACCCTCATACCAGACAGTAATGCATGGAAAACAATGATACAAATTTAATGGTAAAGTGTTCCAACCTCCCTCCTACATTACCAGGTACTTTTCACTACACCAATATCCACCATTTTAGGTGCTAGCATCAGGTGCTGGATTGCTGACCTCCTGAACAAACTGTGTGAGCGTGTCACACTCCTGCAGAGCGTCCAGTGTGTCCAGAGGCAGTTCATCCTCAACTGAGAAAGATGGCTGCTCAAGTAATAGGTTGATGTTCCGCCTGGCAGCAAAGGTCGGCACTGCGTTACGGACGTTGAGTGCATTCAGAGTCAGCTGACTCACTGACTCACCACTGCTTAGATCTCCAAGCCCTTGCTGGAAAGGTCCATCATCTTCAGAGGCTCCAAACATGGGACGACTAATGAGTGGTGTAGATGGGTACGACCGAGAAGTCAATGTAACACCGCTTGCAGAAGGCAGGGAGGTTGCAAATGACCCAACCACTGGGTCTCGAGTGTTACTGGTGGACTGGTAAGGAAGGGGTGTGTTTGGGTAGGAGCGAGAGGGTTGGAAGAGAAACTTCTGGTTGTGCTGCTGAGCAGCATCCACATCCAGTGTGAGCATCAGCTGTTGTTCCTTCTGCTGCTCTTCCTGCTGAACATCATCCAGCAGGTTAAATATGCGATTCAGATTCTCTGAGTTCAGTTCAGCTGTTTCCGTATCTGCTGCATCATCCCCATTCACAATGAGCAAGTCAGTAGAAGGAACAGTGGAGCTGTCGCCTGCAGAAACAAAATCAGTGAACTCACTCGGCACTGGAGTTGGAGCAACAGAACTTGTTGCTGATGATGTGAAGTGATTAAAATTAAAGGCAGTGGTATTGTGGTTTATATACAGGGGTGACTCCTGCTGCTGGCTGGCTGATGCCATTCGATGGAGCGGCACTGACTGCGAACGATGCGATGATGGCTGGAAGCCAATTGCACTTGTCAATACTGATGTTACATTTTGATCATCTGGAAAGAATTGGCTTACTTCCTGTGCTAGAGGATCCACACTCATGGGCAGGCTGGCAGATTGATTAGCCATATCCATGGCATCCAAAAGCGATGCAGTTTGTGTCTCTAACTTGTGCTCAGTGGTCGCAATGGTTTCACGTGTATAATTATGTTTCTTTGCATTTTGCAGCACTTCCTGCACAAGGTTCTGAGAAGAGAAATGATTATGGTTGGTTGGTGGACCTGTTATCAGACTGCTGGCAGAACTGACACTCTTTTGGAACAGAATCATCGGAGACTGCGGCGCTGATATTGAAAGTGGAGACATGGGAGGTGCTGAAGTATTTAGTGCCTGATGATTAGTTGGCTGGAGGGCAGGCAAGTGGAGCTCACCAGGCACTGCAAACATGTTACTGGACTCAGCATCAGAATGTTCATTTGTCTGTCCCACCACCGAGTTATGTCCCAAAGCTTGAAGCATTGGAGTGGCAATTGACATGGCCCGGGGGCGCAGAGCCTGGTACTGTGGCAAACCACTTGAATGGCTGTTCACTGAGTTGGAGCGCACCACTTTGGCTGCCATAGTAGAATGCCTGCCTCGACCAAGTGTTGAGACATTCCCACCATTCTGCATCTGATGTGTTGCAAGGTATGAAACACTTTGGTTCAGGGTTGTCTGCCCAGAGTTATGCCTTGATCGAGGCACAGGGGTGTTACGAGGAGATACAAATGGGCTTGCATTGGCACTGGATGGCTTTGAGGATGCTCGTTGTGGACCCAAAGGTGAATGAGGGCCTGGAGATATAGGTGTGAAGCTGAAGATACGTCGCCTAGTGTTTGGACTCGGTGGGACAGATGCTGTGGCATGGTTCACTCCATCCTGATAGTGCTCCATCACTGATGTCTCAAAACTTACTCGACGACGGGAACTGAGGCTTGTGTGGGTACCACCACTAGAAAGCAATGATGGAAGTAGAAGTGATGGTTTTTCTGCAACACGATTCTGACATCTCTGTGACAAAAGGGACAGACTAACTGAAGCAGGTCCAGCAGCAGCTGTGTGACTTCCAACTGAACTTGGCAAGAACACATCTCCATTTCCAGGACTTGTCTCTGTAACATCTTCAACTGAGAGAGAGGAGGATGCGGTTTCAGTCAAACTTAGTGCAGCACTTCTTTCGCCAGTAGCCCCGAATGGCCCACTTCTGTTCACACATGGGGCCTGGTTAAGATTCCTTTCTAACAGAAGCCGAAGCTGGGACAGTTTATCTGATTTGCTGTTCTCTGTTATAGCAGGGTGTGTCACTGAAGCCTCTTGGTGTGTTCCATCCTCTGGTTCCTCGTTACTGGATGAACTATTCTGGTGCTGAAAGTATCTCATCAGTTCCTCCTCCTGTTCCTGTGAGTTGTTCCCACCATGCAGGTAGTCATCCAAAGCATCTTTCTCTAGACACCCAATGCTAACAGAATTCAACTCCTTCTTTGAACTGCCAGCCAGCAGTGCGGCACTTGCACTAGTCATTTCTGTCCACTTTGCACTACCTTCTTTTCCATCCTTTCCATCCTTCTTCTTATCTCCTACATCTTTAGGTTTCGGCTGGATAGGTTTGTACTTCTTCTTCGGCGATTTCTGCTGTAGAATTGGAGGGAAGATGATCACATTTGCCAGCTGTTTAGTGGCTGGCTTGTTGGGATTGCTGAGTCGTGGTATTGGTAGCTTGTTGACTGGGCTGTTCTCTACTTTGGCAACTGGATTCGCTACTTGCTTCACTCCCTCATTCACTAACAGGGTAGATGGTCTCTTGGAAACATTGTGGTTCGGTTCCTGCACTGGTGAGAATGAGGTGTGTGGTTTGTTTGTACTTGTGGTATTGAGAGAACATGAGGTGGAAGTTGCAACTTCATCTGCACAATTTTCAGAGTGGGGCCGCTTCAAGCTTGAAGATTCAGTTCTCTGAGAGCCTATGACTGACTGAACCTCTACTTCCGAAGTACCTCCTATGGCACTGAGACAGGATGAAGGTTTCACAGCAGTTTTGTTGCATGCTGCATTCTCCCTGCCAGTGCCATTTTCTTGCACAGTAGTTCCATTTACTATCCCTGCCATCAACTTCCCCCCACCTTGCTGTGTCCTGCAGTTTCGTCTGCCTCTGCCACGCCCAGTCCTGCTGTAACCTTTATCACAGATTTGCCCATCTTCTGAGCAGTCTCCCTGAGTTGCTATATTTGTACTACCATGAGTTGTCTCCTTCAGGCTCAGCTTTGCCCGCTTACCCTTTCCTTTCTCTGAAACTGACGGCAGATGATTCCTCTTGGTCAAAGCCGCTGTCTGCTCCTGTTGGCATACCACCAACATCAGAATTTTACTTCTCTTTATTCAATACACATCTCAAATGACATGTTTAATACAACTCTGCTGGCAGTTTTGGATCTTAGAATTTGTGGGATTCACTGCCCAGCAAGTAGTTTCAGAGTTTTCAGGCTCTCATAACATTATCATGACAATGTTTTATGATCAGCAGCTGACTCATCAACATGTGAGAGAAACTGGCAATCTCCACCTTCATGGCAAAAACAATGACAGCAGACCTAATACTATGTTTATTGTACCAGAGTATGGGGCAGCAAACAATGTATGGAGCTGCTATGTAAAGGGAGGTGTAAGAGAATGGTAGAAAAAACAATGTATACTGTACAGGAACTATGAGTATTCTGTCACTGCACATGAAAGTGGAAACTACTAATGTCCCCAGAAAGTCAGGAGTTGAGTTCACCAAACAGCCATACAGGGGCTCCATTAACAAGATGAAGACATAACATACGTTGTGCGTTCAAGTTCTAAGGTCTCCGATTTTTTTTCTCACACAATAATCATACAAAAAGTTTGAAACTTCTGTCACTTTTCAACGTAATCTCCCTGCAGCCGTACACATTTTTCACAACGTCGACGCCATGATTCCATGGCCACTGCAAACGCTTCTGTAGGAGTCTGTTTTGACCACTGGAAAATTGCTGATGCAATAGCGGATTGAAAAACGGCATCCATGTCTCATCCATTGTCACAGTTGATGAAAAGAAAGTCCCATTCATGCCTTCATCATTGCCATGCGTGCAGCCTTGTGGTCATCCACCAAAATTCGTGGAACCCACCTGGAGGACACTTTCCGCATTCGCAGGTCTTCATGCAGGATTTTGTGCACAGATCCCACGGAAATGCCAACTTTGGGGGCGATGTTTTCCACACTCAATCGGCGATCCTCCAAAACAACTTTCTCAACTCGCTCGACCATGTTGTCAGACCGGCTGGTGCGAGGCCGAGATTGTTTTGGTTCGTTGTCACACAACGTTCGGCCTTCTTTGAACTGTCACACCCACAAATGCACATTTTTCACATTCATGACACCATCACCACATGTCTCACTCAACTGGCGATGAATTTCAATGGGTGTCGCACCACACAAGTGGAGAAAACGAATGATTACTCGCTGTTCTTGTAACGAAAACGTCGCCATTTTAAGTATCAAAAACACTCCTCACACTCGCCGCTACCACTAGAGTTCTGTGTGCCATAGAGTTCTGCCATCTCTGTCACGCATTCACAAAGAGTGCACACGTATTTTAAACAAAACCGCATGTGTCTATCTGCTCCAAGTCCTGAGAAAAAAAAATCGGAGACCTTAGAACTTGAACGCCCCTCGTATATCACTGCTCTTTCTACCTTATAAACATCGACTGTACATTGCCACAGAAGACACAAAATAATTGGCCTTAATGGGCTATTTTCTTAATTCAACAAATTCATATTATACCTGGAATTTCATATATTGAAGAAAGGAAAAATATTTCACTAGACATGTGTGAGTCCAAAATTTTTTAGATCAGATCAAGGAAAAAAGTTCCCAATCTCAAACTTGATTTCTAGTCATGAACTTTGAGAATTTTCAGACAATCGCTTCTGCTTTGTGCAACAGCTTTCAAACCAGCCACTTCATTAGGCTCTTAATGGCTGGCAACAGTAACATATATCAATCTGTTGAACTCTTTGTTCAGAAAGATCTGATACCAAAGGAATAAGCAATAGACATTGGTATGTTGTGGAAAAGTGCTGACCGTTATAAATATTGATTACAGAGGAATGATGTAAACTAGCAGAAAAAAATACTTGCTCCCTTCCAGCTTCTCAAAATTTTTCCAAATTCTCGTCCTGATCTCAGCTCCCACCAACAGTGCCATTCTCAAACATGCCTCCCTTTTGTATTTATGGTAAATGTGAAATAACAGAATTTTCACCTGCAGCTTGCGTTTCTGCTCCCGAATGACCTCACGCTCTTGAAGCTTGCGCTGGAGCTGCAATTGTGTTTCACGGTGCTTATTTGCTGTACCACTTGATGGTACTACTCGTAGGCCCGGTGAGGAAGACACACCCACTGTTGCCAATAAAATAATTCAGTGGGAAGTTATGTAGAACAGAGCCTATTAGACTGCACAGAGCTTCAGTATGTGTTCTGCTTATTGTCATTATATCATAACAGACAAAAATACTGAAACTTTCCTTGCATGATTTCACATATTACTCTAGAATAAGAAGAGGAATTCATCACATATTTTGAAGATGATGGTGTCAAGACTTAATAATATGTGGAATTATGAAGACCAGTATATATCTAGAAGCCACACAGTTTCAGGTCAATGCCCAAATCCTGCCGCTAATGGCATGGTGTTTGTATGTTTTCCATTACCTCCATTCAATCTACTTCACTTCTGTATCCTGTCCTGGACTATCTTCCTGGTCAGATAAAACTCAGCATAAGAATCCTCATATGAAATTCCCAGAAATAAACAAACCTCCTCTCATGAGTTCTGCCTTCTGGGATATAATGCCTTGCAGTCCACTGAAAGTCAACCAATGTTTTGGAGGAACATGTCACCTCCATCTTCATGGTCAAGGAATAGCCAAGCAGTGCTACCTCATGTTGGTTTCTTGCTTGGCTCATTCTTCAACCCTAAAAACAGGTGGCATGCTACTCTGAAACATCAGTTGATTTTCAATGGACTACAGTATTATATCCTAGAACTCTTCACAACAACCGCTGTGAGAACCTCAAATCCCATACATCTCCTCTCAATTTATTACTGAATGAATTTCAATTTTACATTCTTCTAAAGAAATAAACAAGCCACTACCCTTTTTCTTTCATGTAAAATGGTACATCTAGTTAGGGAAGAAATGCTTTCACTGTAAACTATAGGGAACACATCAGAAATGATAAGGCCGACTTATGGAAATGATATCCACTGTAGTTCTTAACAATCAACTGGCCAATCACAACTTGTTACAACTGTTTATTTCATTCCAAATCTGTTCCATGATGCAGCTGGATACAGAAAAATTACTACTGCTACTATTCACACATTTTCTTAAAAAAATAATGTTAAGCACCTGAGCCCAATATTTTCAGTGTTTCAATGGAGCATACTACAGAAAACTTACTAATCAAAATAGTACTTCTGGCTAGAACATCTAAAAAAATGGCCACTTTCACCTGGAGTAAGATCCCAACATACATGTTTTATTTTTAAAAAGGGAACACAGATGCTACACAATATTATATGCAGCCAGAAAAGATACCCAAAATAAACTCAAACTTTACACATAGCTACAAAACATGCATTCACCTATGGTCTATTCAACCTTCCTGGCCTCTGTCTTTCTTAGCAATGGTGAACAATTCCATTTCTGTGATGGACTCTACTACCTTCAGGTAACAAGATGGTGAGGATGACAGCAGATAGAAAGCACCTAAACCTTAACACTCAGAACCACTAGGGACTCATATTCTCTACCTTCACAGTCACATCTGTGTTAAACTGAAAAAGAGAGGAATCGCATGCAGAAAAATCCATAATGATCCAGCCAGTCTTGAACCCAAGACCTAGGGCACAAAAGTACAGATTTAGGCCACTAGGTACCCTGCTAGAAAACAGAAATCTAACAGAATATTATTTCCATACTTATTGATCTCATCTAGAGTTACTGCATACTGTATTCATGTAACATGCCCTGTTATAGTCAGCAAATACAAAGCTATAAGAATAACAAAATTAAAATTAACTTGTGGCATTTTTATTTTTCAGACATCAATATGCTCTAACATCTGCTGGCACTCAGCACAGAACTAAACACAAGTGATGTAACACTAAATGACTCTATTGGCATTATGAAAAAAGCGAACCTTTCCCTCCACATAATTTAGATGGGGTAAAGCTTGGTACTGCCTTGCTTCCAGAACTTGCAGACAGGATGGTGAAAGCAGCAATGGAGCGAGAGTCTACACACAGATTCTCCACCAAGTGGCAGGCCAGGTCACGCAGACTCTTGAATGTCACACCCAGCAGTTTCTGTGCCCACTCACAGATTAGACAGGACGCTGCTGACACCAGTTCGTCCTCGGAATGAGAACTACTGTTCCGCTACAACACAGGATCATACATACACGTATGTGAGTATGTGTCAAAATCAAAATTCACCGTGATCTAAAACATAAAGCCCATGACAATGTGCAGGAAACAAGTAAAAGCAAGCTCCTGTTAAAACTAATAAAAGGATTTCAAGATTGATGGTTTGACCAGTCACTTCATCACCAAATTAAAGATTAAAATGTATACAACTACAACGTAGTGTCAGGGGGACAAAGTTACTCGCATCCATGACATTCTTTATGTCATACGTGTCCCCTGGGTAGTGCAAAATGAGTAACAAACCTGGTAAAGCTTCCCAAAAGAAAAGTGCAAACTTCTTCAAGATGCAACAAAGCAAGAACTTGAGTGCTCTCTATTGGGAAGCAAGAAGCTAAATGGGTTAAATGATCCCAAATGCAGCCACTGGAAACCAACAACGAAGTGTCATCACAGCAGCTTTCATCAGACTAAAAATGTATTAATAAAAGAGAAAATCTGCTAAAATGAAAGTAAGAAAATGTTAGTAAATACATAATGTAACATAAAGTCCTGACAAGTGATGGCCTCTTGTGAACAGCAATGAACCTTCAGATCCCAACAAGGCAGAGTAGCTGAAAAGGTGAGTATCTGAGGAGTTCTGCTCTATGGAATTAATTTAGGAACACACACCCTCACATACAGATAGTGCATCTGAATATGAACTAATACTTTCATGAAACTAATTTTTATTTGCTACTGCTGTATACATATAATTAATTTTGTAAACATTTTCACAAGATTAGCCTAATATTTCTTTATGGATACAGTCACAGATTCCTAAACTATGACATAAAAACATTTATACACTGATGTCTACACACCTTAGTCTCCTCACCAAGGTCTGGTAGCAGTGGTACCTCCAGCTTTATTCTCTTGCGCATCCCAGCATAACAGTAACGAGAGTTGCCCCTCGTACCAAGCCGGCGAGGCCTGACACAAGGGAACACTTGTTTCATCACCTTTCCGAAGTCAGCCGTGGACAGGGGCTTCATTGCATTGCTGTTACAGTATGCACTGCAACACCACAGTGATGCCAGCTTCAGTGGACTACTTAACTTAGAGGGAATTTTCTCTGAATCTTAATCGCACAAACATAATCCAAATAAAATAAACAAATTAATAATTTACAATACAGAAAACACACCACATCTTCATTACTAACATTGTCTCCTAAATGAGATGGGAATAATAATTACTGTTTGTTCTGGGAAGCAAATGAAATTTATAATTCCATCACTATCCTATAACAGGTTCACTTGGTTGCCTTGCTGTTAATTTTCTGCAATTTTAATAAATGCTCTGTATCTGTTCTGTAAAATGTTCTGGGAAATATGAAGGACTTGATCCTCCAACAGCAGACTCCTCTGATGTATATCAAGCACACACTTGCGAATATCACTTGGAACATCACTGCAGTCAGCCTGTAACAGCTGTTATACTAAATCACCATGACAAACAACAATCATAGTAGCTGAGTCCGTTTACAGTTACATGTATAACTGGCAAAATAAATCAAATGCTTTTACAAAATAATTAATTGGAACCCAGTGTGCTCAGGAGAATATTTGGACCAAAGAGGAATGAAGTGACAGGAGGCTGGAGAAAACTGCATAATGAGGAGCTTCATAACTGGTAACTCCCACCAAGTATAATTAGAGTGATCAGGTCAAGGATGGGATGGGCATGATATGTAGCATGAACAGGGAGAAGAGGAATGCATATAGGTTATAGGTGGGAAAGCCAGAAGGAAAGAGACCACTAGGAAGACCAAGACATAGGTGGGTGGATAATAATAAAATAGATCTTAGAGAGACAGGGTAAAGTGGTATGGACTAGACTGATCTGGCTCAGGAGAGGGAACAGTGGAGGGCTCTTGTGCACATGGTAATGAACCTTCAGGTTCCATATAATGTTGGGAAATTCTTAAGTAGCTGCACAACTGGCAACTTCTCAAGAAGTGCTCAATTCCATGGAATTAGTTTGACTGTGCTATGAGTCCAAATGTGTACAATGTGCGATAGTGTCAGTAGTCTGGCCTTCCTGCTCAACCAGCCAAAGGATTTGAGGCAGCCCCTAAGATGATATCCCAGTATCCTCTGTTTTGCCTTTTGCTACTCTTTAGGTAAGATTAGATTATCATCAACTTCAGTGAATAATAACAAAGGTTTGGCTGTTTTACATTTATTCTCATTAATCTCTCTTTTTTCCTCTTCCCACAGTCAGGTATAATTATAATTCACCTCTCTAAATAAAATCAATGATATGGCTGCTCTATATTTTATCTCCATTTTCTTCTATTATAACACTTAAGTACAGTTATAATCCACTTCAGTCCACCTGTGTAGGGCGAGGAATGGACTAACCCCTGCAGCTTTCCCAATCCTTTGTGGAAAACTTGGGATTCATGATTTAATTACATTAAAGAAGATATAGGGTACAAACAATTTATTAATTCAATATGGAAATTTTATTAAGTTCACAGTTTTTTGATCATATGTACTCATCTCCTTACAACTTCATTAATATGTTCTTGAAAAACGCAAAGAAAGCAAACCTATATGAACACACAATCTACAACAAATGTAAGTATTCAGTCTAAGTTCACAAGTGATAACATGTACTAGGGTTTCACAATATGTGGAATTTTGATGAAGGTTTATACATAGCAAATGTGACAAAGAGATTCATTCTGAAGAAAGTAGTTACTATTCAACCATACTGCCTCTTCAATGGTACCAGCAAGTTTACACACTCACATATATTCATTATAGACATCCTGCTTTGGAAGTGAGACATCGGGGTCCTCCTCCAGGTGCGTCCTGATCCACGTGATCGTCTGATGTATCTCGAACCGACTCCCAAGTGGATTCAATGGTCTGTCAAACAGTGCTTCCATCAGAATGCAAACATATCCAACAACACATACTAATTTCTAACAAATCATCTTTTTGGATCAGACCTATCCCTGAGCACCTTCCAACATGTTCAATACAGCAGGCTGCATGTTAGTGTCCCACATACTGTAACTGTTGAGCAGCCTCCATAATCTAGGGGTAACGTTCCCACCTCATGACTCAAGGTACACGGGTTCAAACCCGGCGGAGGCCATGGAATTTTTAAGGGCGGAAAAATTCAGGGAACAAATCCTCTGGGAGGACTTTAAGCCATGTGTCCCGTGTCGTAGATTTACGGCACGTAAAAGATCCTCATGTCTCTAAGAGACCTCTGAGCAAAATTAGGCAAAAAGTTTCCCGCTCAAGTAGTTTCCAATTCCTCCAGTAGATGGGGAAGTATCGGGGACCACTGCCAGAGAGATGGGCGACCTCGCTGGCAGAACGGGGCTGATAGCGAGCACCAGTACTGGAAGAACATGGCAACTAGAAGAATTATAGGGGGACACACAATAGATCAACAAAGGGTCACAGTGCATGGGGAAACCCACCCCCTCCAAAATAATAATAATAATAATAATACTGTAACTGTTGGTAACACCACTAACTCTGGGCATCCTTTTTTATGAATAATTCTTCAGATAATACAGAAGTGTCTGATACGTACCAAAAGACAAAAATCCCAGTGCTCCATTCAGTTTTTCATAATTATTAATTCTGGTATTTCAAGTTACATACCCTGCCCCTTCTAAACTGCTGAGGCTGTCTACCTCACCATCTAGCACTTTAGGATATACATGACTGATTAATGTCTCTACTTCATAAAAATTTTTTGTAGCTGAACAGAACCAAGATGATGCATGTCAGAATTATGACTGATCATCTTGTATCATTCATACACTCATTTCCATCTCTAATGTAACCAAAAATAGTTCACAGTCTCTCTTTTGTTTTAAAATGCCATTAAAATCACATTCAACTGCAACATGTTTTGGCCTTATAGGGCCACCTTCAGAAAACTCTTCATCTACCAGCCTACATCACTAACATGTGCTTCAGTGTTATCCTCTTCCACGTGAAATTCTGTCAAGAAAACAGCAGGGAGGAACATGAAATCAAAGGAGCATGAAAATAATCATGGACCGATATATCTGGCATGTGTTTAGAGCAGTAATACATACATACCAAAAATGTTCAGGCCATGGGGTTTCAAAAACTCCCAAGTACAAACAAATGAAGGCCAGATATATCAAGCAATGCAGATAAAATTATTACAAGAGTACCATCTTCTGGTATATAATGCTGTGTCATCCAATGAAAGTCAACCAGCGTTTTGGAGGAACACATTGCTTCCATTTTCAGGGTTGAAGAATAAGCTATGTAAGAATCCAGTATGAAAGCAGATGAGAAGAATAAGCCCTCTGCTTGTCATTTGCTTTCACATTGGTTTCTTGCCTGGCTTAGTCTTTTACCCTGAAAATGAAGGCAATATTTTCCTCCAAAACGTTGGTTGACTTTCAACGGACTACACAGCATTACGACCCAAAAGACTGTACTCTTCATAATCACCACTGTGGGGACCTCAAATCCTACAAGATGATTATAGTCATCCAGAATGTAATGCTGTGTAACTGGTAAACAGGTAGCAACATTTCAGAAGTACTTGCTGTCTCCATTTTCATTAACTCTACTCAGTACACAAAGAGGGCAGGCATGATGCACAAAGACATATGAAAATAATATCAGTATTCCAAAACAATGAGAAAATGAACATGCCACAGTCACACTGCACTTTAGATTTCAGAAGGGTTTCCCTTAATAATCCCTATGATAAAAATTGTGATGCTGGCACATTTATGGACTCCTGGGTACATCAGAAAATTTGGTAATGCTCTTCTTACAAACGAAGTGTGGGAACTGCCCACATTCAAGCAAACGTTACAGTGATAATGCAAGTATTATTGCTTATCAACGGCAAGTAAATAGCCTGTCTAATGCTGTAAGCAGGATCAAGCAAATTTCAGAATCTTTACCACAGTTCATCTGTTAGAAATGATCCATTCCACACATGTAAGGAAAACAATATAAAACCTAAAGAAGTATACTGAGAACTCATTACACACATCATGAAGAGCCCTCCAAACCTACTATTTCATATTTATGAATCACATCAAACATACTTACTGCCGTAGGGGATCTACTTTACCACTCTTCCCGGTTGGTAACTTAAGGTACAGTAGCAGCTTCTCAGCTGTTGAAAGCTCGTTAACTTGGTCCAGAATTCTCATCACAGCTTGTTTGGAGTCAGGACTGAAAAACAATATATTTTTGCACTCATTAATCGGCATTCGTTATCAAAGCACAGAGCACGTCGACAGAGATTCACAACGCCTAAAATCATATGTTGCATGTTCAATTTGGATGTCTGTACCTGATGGCATCTTCAACAATCTGTTTGATCTTGCTTGTTTTGCTGTCAAGGCCATTGGTGTTATGCTTGTCCAAAGAGCAATTTGTGTTCTTTGATTGCTTGTTTTCGTTACCGTTGGATGGAATAATGATGCCATCGCTGGTGGCGGCCAGTCTTTCGTTGGTTCTGTCACCTGGATCGTTGTCACTGCTTTGGTAACTTCGGCCCTGCTCCATTAGAGTACTATTACAGCTGTGCCTGATATGACCCGATTGTCCAATCTTTGCCAAACAGTCAGACAGCTCGGATTTGATCATATCTGGCGCAATACATCTCACCGCGGCCCTTTCTTGTGGTCCTGCCCCATCCATTTATCCGAGTTGGATTTTCGATGACACTTTAATCCAACTCCCATCCGAAGCAAACCAACCATTTTGTCATGCCGATCAGCTGGGCAACTTGTTACCGTATGAGCCAAAGATGCGAAGAGGGGTAAAGATGACTAATATGAATGTTGTGCCTGCATTCGGTGTTCTACTTCCGATAGAAATTTATGAAACTTCGCAATTTTAGTATGTGATTCATTATAGTACAGTGATTTTCTATTGCAGTACTAAATAATTAATCATTCCTACATATGTGCAGAATGAGGGTGAAGTAAATGTCTAGAGGAGTGTAATATCTTTCAGTCATATGATCTTTGCTTCTCTTTGCCGGGGATGTCGTAAAGCAATGTCGCAAACTATTGTAATCAGATAGTTACATATTTGTGCGCTAGATGGTGCAAACATATCTGTCAATATCAAATTATCACACCGATAGATGGCGAGGCACATTCATTAGGTTCATGAGTTACAGCTTCAAGCTCAATTGACTGAGATTGAATGGTTAGGAATTCTTGGGTTCTTGGGATCGGTTATGGTAATGATTGAAGAAAACGTTTCAGCTCTGTCTGCGTGGATGTCCGAGCGGATTAATACATCTAGTTCTGATACTTTTCCTATTTGACCTTGTGGCCTGCTTCCCATCAGAACTAATCTGAACTATGGATCTTAAAAACTCCTTGGATTCCTCATTATTTGTCTATGTCCTTGGACGGGTAGCCAGCCCTGTCTCATGGTGCTACCTACACAAGAAAACATAAACACAGGAGAAACGCGGACATGCGAGTTGGATTCGAACCCACGAACCCTGTGTTTCAAAGTTCTAAGACATTTCATGCCTTAGACCGCACGGCGACTGTGACTGGCGGATTCAGGCTTGAATTTCAGAAACAAAACAATATCTTTATAGTCTCACGGTGGTGACTATGAAAATTACTTTCTTCTGGGACGTTATGCCTTGTAGTGTGGTAATTCTTACCAAAGTTTCAGATGAATGTACTATACCTATCTTCAGGGTATCCTATTTTCTTTTTATTTCGTTCCAGTAAACGTTAATATCTGTCACCAACCACATATTTATACTTTTCTATGTTTGGTACCTACAATAGAAATTAGATATACAAATATATTTAAAACATTTATATACAATATAAGTAACTGTCATATGATATATCCCGATGAGGTGGATTTTTTCAATGTACCTAATCCTTCCAGCTGCACAATGGCCCTGGGGTCGACTCAGCCTCTAACAGAAATGGGTACCAGGAATATTCCTGGGGGTGAAGTGCGACCGGCGCGTATGGCTGACAACCTCACCGCCATCTATGAGCCGATTGTCTAGAAAATGTGGGAGCCTCAACATCTCACAACCATATGGTCCTCCACGGTCTGTTACAGGGGTACCTTTACTTTTATATATTAATGGGGGCACGCGGTAGCGTAGTTGAATGAGACACTACGCTATAAGCCGGAGGGTCGCGGGTTCGATTCCCGATGAGGTCATTGAATTTTCTCAATTGACCTAATCCTTCCATCCGCAGTATGGCCCGGGGGTCCACCCAGCCTCTATCAGAAGTGAGTACCAGGAATCTTCCTTGGGGTTAAAGGGCGGTCATCTGTGAGCCAATTGTCTAGAAGATGTGGGAGCTTCAAACTCTCACGCCCCTATGGGCCTTCACGGCCTGTTACAGGGACAGCTTGACCTTTGTATATCAATTTATTTATTCAGTTTTATACAACATAATAGCCGGTCACGGTAGCCGTGCGGTCCGAGGCATGTACTGTATTCTCTCGCTCGAAAGCGGGGATCGTAGGTTCCAACCCCACACAAGGCATGATGTTTGGTGTATGTATACGTTTATTGTGTGCTTGTATGGTCCCGTGTTTAGGCAGAGGCCTTGCGACGAGCTGATCACTTGTCCAAACCTCGTACCATCTGTAAAATGATCAAAGAAACTGAGAAATCAGTCCTATGCTCCAAAGTGGGAGCGAAGAGGAAGAAAAAAGAAATACAACGTAATCCTTTGAGAAGTGCGGTAAATCCGTCCATTAAATGATCATTTCTTTTTGATATAAATCAAAAACTGTGTATCGCAATATTATAAGAGTGTCACAACAAAGAAACCGGTGACGTGATAAGTCTGCGTACCGTTCTTACGCGTGTAGTACTCCGCTCAGTGAACGAAGGAATTTGAATGCGAAATCAATTATAAGACTATACAACTGTAGTTGAAAGCTCCTTAATATGACTTTAATTCACAACTTTCACTCATGACGACATTCAGCACACGGGTCAGTGCATGATTTTCACACACCTCAGCGCTTATTGAACAATCAGCTTATTGCAATATCCGCAGCAGGACGGCCAAGGGATCGAAATTCCATTCCCGACGCCGACACAAGGTTTTTCTGTTATCCGTAACGTCCAGACTAGCTTTAGTGCTGAGGTAATTATGCGTTGTACTATACATCTACTTTTCACGAAGCGATGCTTAATTAAGCGGAGGGATTTCATCTCTGTCGTAGGTTAGTTTTAAAATCATTAGCCATTCACACTCCTTCATACAGACACAGCACGCGTGCGCGCATATGCTGTCACGTGTCACAGTGACTAAAGACGGGGTTCTGGTTGATAATTGGATTTATTAACAACATACAGGTCGTAATTACAAATAATTATTACACTATTATTGCTTTACACAATTCATAATCACTCCACACTGATCTTCTCAGTCTATTTTCACTGGTCTTTATTATCCGTTCCCTGGCAACGGGTTCGTAACACAGGAACTATGAAAGTCTCACTAAATGACACACTAACAATATCGATGTAGTACTGTACACACAAAATCTTAAAATCACACGTCAGGTCTTCATAGGCTGATTTATTGTACTCTTCTGTACTCCTCCAGCTCACCGCTATAATCCGGTCGCTTATTATTCACTTAGTCACTCAATCACTCGCATAATATAGACGCGGCACGGACACAAATTACAGAAAACACATCACGTGATAGCTATCCGGCTAGTCCATTGCCACCCTGGCTGGACCTACAGAGAACACATATCACGTGACCGCTATGTACAGTTTTGTGGCGTCACCACGGACGCAAAGAAAACACAGTTTTCCCTACTGTTGCTTGCGCGTATTTCGAGTGTTGGCTGGCAATGGATTTGCTTGTCACAATATATATACATGTATATATATATTCCATAATTTTACCTACCACTGATATAGGCTAAATTGAGTACTTAGACTCCTTACAGGATGAAATAAATTGATACTTGAAACGAAGGAGAAAATACCAATTACTGTGAATATTAGAAAGTAAATACACGAAGAGTGTCGACCATACGCAAAACTCGCAACCTTCTGCCCAATGAGACTATAGTTCCTACAAAAAGAAATGAGCTTTTGGGGGAGGAGGGATCGGTACCAATCTGTTCGTTACTCTGCTAACAATTAACAAGTACTTTTGACACCTTCGTTTGTACTCAGATAGTTCTCTTTATATTTAGAATCTGAATTGGAAACTCCGGAGGAGAAAGAAGGACCACATCGGAGATCAAGCCGTGCATGGGAGAATGACATTAGCTTCTCAATAAGGTTTCTCCCATGAATTTCTCCTCACGGGAATATTAACCATATAGGCCTATTCTAATTGCATAAAATGCAGCGGAGATCGCTCTTGTTGCCCATCTTCCTGTAGAGTCTTCGCTTCCATCTGTGACAGCTGGAGTATACTAAAGGTTAACAGTTGAAGCATCTGTTGTTTTTTCTAAAAAATGTTTCAGAATGGCAGATTTTAATTAATTTTTATTTTTTAAGTTTACATTATAATAATATATGATTTCGGTAACTTGCAAATATAATAATTTTTTCTATACTCTACATCAGGGGTCTCCAAACTTTTCGAACCACGGGCCACATTAGATAATTCAGCACTTTCAACGGGCCGGATAAAATGAGAAATTAGTAACTCTAGGTATATGAGTTTTATTGAAAGAACAGAATTTCATAAACTAAATACAAAGTATGTGAGAATAAATTATCGTATATTAATGACAACAGACAGTAGCAGCAAATGCTCATATTTTCATCACAAATTATAATAAAACAATTAATGTGAATGATGGAACTCTTTTGCATTCTTAAAATCTGATTAAATTGAGGTTCAAATTTTGAAACGCTAATCAGAAGTAGCGACTTTAAATGTTCATCGGATAAATTTACCCTGTTTTTCGACTTGATGTACTTCATCTGAAAAAAAGTTTGTTCACACAGATATGTCGTCCCAAAAAATGGAGATAAATTTACATGCAAATTTCTTTAAATTTGGAAATTGCTCAGAATTCAGAAATTTATAAAATTCGATCAAATTTCCTTCCTTGTATTTGTCTTTAATATGATAATTTTCCTGAAGTTCAATAATTTCCATTTGAATTTGACTTGGGACATCTACAGCATCACAGTCAAACGGATTTTGAAACCATCTAATTTCCTGAGCACTGGCATCCAAATCAGCAAATCGCTTCCGAAATTGTTCTTTCAAATCTGAAATGACTAAATTTGCAAACGAGGAAGGAAATTCAGCTTCACCCTTTTTATGCAACTCTGCACAGTATAGCATATGAACAAAGTTACAATTTTTCACTTGGCTTTTCAGAAGTATCAACTTTGCTCTGAATGCCTTGATAAGTGCAAACAAATCACAGAATAAGTTATTTTCACCCTGCAACTTTAAATTCAAATGGTTCATATGGTTCACCAGATCAGCAAAAAATGCTAATTTCCAAAGCCACTCGGTATCTGATAAAAGTGGTTCGTGATGGTTCTTCTCAGTAAGAAGTATATCAATTTCATTCCTGAGCTGAAAGAAGCGCGAAAGAACCTTTCCACAGCTAAGTCATCGAACTGCAGTATAATATGTCAGTATAATATATCTAGGAATCACATTTACCAGTACTTATTGGAAAATTAGTTCAATTGGCGCATTTCTGCACAATTTTTCGTGGGCCGGATGTGGCCCGCGGGCCGTAGTTTGGAGACCGTTGCTCTACATGTATGTACTCGTATGTTTGTAAGGGGTGGGCCATAAAATCCGGCCCTTGCACTG